TATAGAGAGATATAGTACTATATAGATAGGATATCGATAGAGAGGAATATAGATAAGAGAGAGATATAATCGATATATATATATAATATATATATATATATTATTAGAGATATTATCCATAGATATATATATGAGATATATAGAATTTATATAATATATATATATATATATATATAGATGATATAGAGATATATAGATATTATATGTTAGTATAATATAGATCGATAATATGTTATATATATATAAGTATAGAATAATATATATAGAGATATATAATCTGTTATATATATATATATATAATATTATATATAGATATATAGTATATATATATATATATAATAGAATATATGATATATATAGCACCAACACACATCTGGGTAGTCTTTACTTTTCGGGTTATTATAGGTTCTTTCATTGTATATATGATATCATTTATTTATATATTGTTACACCAACACACACTATGGTTAGTCTTTACTTTTCTGGTTATTTAGTTCTTTATTGTATAATGATATCATTCTTATTTCTTATGTTAACATTTTTGTGTGTAATTATTTCTATGTATATTTTGTAACTTATTCTTTCCCACTACGCTATTTATAATGTGTTTTTGAACCCAATTGTACAATTATGCTAACGACTTTTTTATTTGTTCTTGTTGACAGTTTAACTGATGATGGAGGTTTCGTTTATACCTTTAAACGGCTAAATAAAGATGAAAATTCTTCCGAGTGTGTTAGTAGACCCTATTCATACTAACTATACGACACCTGAGCTGCAAACCTAGCACAGAAATATAATTATATATGATAAATATATATATAAATATATATATATATAATATATATAGATAGATATACTATAGATATATATATATATATAAAAGATATTATATATATAATAATATATTAGATATATATAATAATATTATAGATCTATATATAGAATCAGTATAGAGATATATAGAATAAATATAATAGATATATAGATATAGAGAATAGATATATATAGACATATATATAGTATAATATATATATAAGATACAATATATATATATATATATATCTATAATATAGATAATATATATAATAATATATATATAAGATATAGATACTAGATGATAGATAAATATTAGATATGAGAGATCTACTATATAGAGATATAATAGTTCTATAAGAAGATATATATAGTAATAGAGATATATGTATAGATAGGATATATATCAGATATAATATATACATAGAATATGCAGAGAAAGCTAGATATAGGATATAGAGATAGAGAGAGAGATAGATAGAGAGAAGAGAAATAGATAGATGAGATATAGATAGATATAGAGAGATAGATATATAATATATATGATAGTGTATTAAGATATTATTATATATAGATGTATACTAGATATAAATTATAGATCGATATTAGAGGGAGAGAGAAATATGTATAGATAGATAATAAAGATAGCTATGTATCTATATATAAGATATAATATATATATAGAGAGAATATGAATATAGATGTAAATAGAATAAGATAGAGAGAAATACAGAGATATATATAATATGTATAGAGATATATAAGAGATGATATAATATGAGATAACGATAGAAGATAAGACTAGAGATAGATATAGAAAGAGATATAGAGATAATAGAGATATAGAGAAGGGAGCTATATGATCTGAATGAGATATAGATGAGGATAGATAGAGAGAGATAGAGAAGAGAGTAAGAAGAGAGATAGAATTATGAGAGATATACTATATAGAGAGATATCTATAGAGGTAGAATACATAGAGATATAGAGATATATAGATAGAGACGAAGAGATAAGGATGAGAAAGAGAAGAAGATAGCTAAGAGGTAGAGGAGATGAGAGAAGAGAGATAGAGATATATATAATAGATCTGAGATATAGAGAGATTAAATGAGCAGAGAGTATAGAAGAGATAGTAGATAGATATAAGATAGTAGAAGAGTATAGAATGGAGAGAGAGAGAGCAGATAGATAGATAGAGAATAGAAGAGAGAGAGAGTAGAGATATAGAAGATAAGAGAGAAATAGAGAGAGAGAGATAGAATAGAGCGATAGAGAGAAGAGAAGAGAGAGTAGATAGGAGCGAGAGAGAAGCGAGTAAGAGATATAAAGAGTATGAGAGCTAAGAGAGAGAGCGCAATATAGAGAATAGAGAGATATAGAGGGCGAGTAGAGAGTATATAAGGAGAGAGATAAAGATAGAGAGGGAGACTAGAAGATAGAGAGAAAGAGAGATAGAGTAGAGAGTATAGAGAAGAAGGAAGAGATGTAATAGATCCGATCGATAAAGAGATATAGAGATATATATAGAGAGAGTAGAGAGAAGAGATCATAAGAAGATATAGAGAATAAGAATAGAGATATAAGAAGAGAGATAGAGAGAGAGAGAGAAGAGAGATATAGATAAGATAGAGTGATAAAGAGATATATAATAATAATATATAGATATATAATATGACATTAT